TTTTATTAATTTATAAAGTGGTATTGATAAGGCTATAAATTCTTTAGAAAAATGGTTGAGCATGTAGGTTCATCTTCCATTAAGTGTATGTTAATTAGGTGGTAAAGACGGTCGTAAATTTGCTAGAAGTTATTTGAATATAAGGTTAAATAGACGGAGAAGCCAAGTTCCTAGTCTTAAGGAATTATGTTACTCAACTATTTTGAAGTCAGATATTGAACAATCTAATTCTAACGATTTTGGGTTGTTACAAGCAATAGAAAATTTGTCATTTTTACAAGAGTTATCTGATTTTGCTAACTCTGATAACTTACCAATTCACAATTTTCCTTTACTATATGAATTTGTCAAGTGTCGAATTTATTATATTGTCATCCACCAACAACAGGTTGAAGGTTTATTCAACAATTATGATCTTAAATGTCACAAAAATATGAATATGGAAACTAAAAAAGCAAAACTATGTCTTTCTAGTGCTAAACAAATATCTCTATCCGATGAAGATTTGGCAGTTCAAAGAAGAAGTAAAAGAAAATTTGATGAACAGGACAATAAAAAAAAACAGACAACTTTTGGAGAAATTGAGGCCAATAAACTGTTTAATAATTTGTTCAATAAATAAAGAAATAGGTTGTTAGATAAATAAAGAGAATAATTTGCAAAAAGTGAAATTTCCGAAATTTCTGAAATTGTAAAATAACCTATAAAAAATCCTTACATAGTAAATTTTATATGTACAGCTACTTATGGTTTGATTTTATTAGTTTGATGATCACCCTAATTTTACGTAAATTTCAGTAAATCAAATTTCATATAATTTTTATCATATTTTATCTAAAGTATTGGATTTACAAAAGTTCAGCTTGCTCCTCAAATTGCCAAAAATTTGATCATAGAAGTCATATATCATGTGATAAAAAATTACAAAAATACAATTTACCCAAATCTTACGTACAGAAGGTTTTGTCATATGTACAAAAAACAAACAGATATTATCTCTAATATTTTTTTTTCCTTCGGCAATCCTGTTTACTTTATTATAGGAACAGACTTTCATTCCTACATCGGCATTTGAAGAAATCTAAAATCTATAAGTGTTCCAACCAAAAAGTAAATTCACTCTCGGCGTATCTCGCAGATGCCGAAACATCCACTTGTGGTCAGGACGAACCATTAAACCGCTGTGTTTTGCCCAGATGTGACCTGCCTAGCAACACTTGGCCTCCTCCAGAGATCTGAAACTCACTTTGGACTTATTTCCTCCAGATTCACCGGCTGGCTGTTGCTCGCCCTGTCAAGATTCCCACTCTACAATAGAATGCTGCCAAACTGATGACACTTTCTCGTAG